CTGAACATTCATTTTGTTTTGCCGTAAAGATACTGAATGTTGCTTTTAACCCATTACACGCCAGGTAAAATGATAAAGCAGCACTCTCCCCTTGATGAGTAAAATTGTCTAGCATTAGACTGAGTAAAATGATAAAGCAGCACTCTCCCCTTGACGAGTAAAATTGTCTAGCATTAGACTGAGTAAAATGATAAAGCAGCACTCTCCCCTTGACGAGTAAAATTGTCTAGCATTAGACTGAGTAAAATGATAAAGCAGCACTCTCCCCTTGATGAGTAAAATTGTCTAGCATTAGACTGAGTAAAATGATAAAGCAGCACTCTCCCCTTGATGAGTAAAATTGTCTAGCATTAGACTGAGTAAAATGATAAAGCAGCACTCTCCCCTTGATGAGTAAAATTGTCTAGCATTAGACTGAGTAAAATGATAAAGCAGGGTGCAATGCAACTCAATAAAGTATTTGGGCTGTTTTGGAGCTAACTTTGTTTTAAAATTTCTCATTTTATGAACACAACCTGTCGTTTCTGCATGGTCATCCTGGTTGCTGTGAGGAGAAATCAGGAATTGTAACGAATGGATAAAAATGTGTGTCGTTGGCAAACCTACACTTCCCACTGCGGTAGGCAGTCGAGTATTTTTAACCTGCACATTTCCGTTTTTATTTCCTGTGTTTTTATTTTATGTTCATCAATGCCATGACTTTAAGGCTGGAAGGAGTTGAGAGTCCCCACTCCACTGCATGCCTTCTGAATATTATAGACTCCATTTTATATGCCACCATTCTACCAGTACGAATTATTGATAATTGCAACCTGTTGCTCCCAACTATATAGAGCCCAACCACATTGTATTTGTCAATATCAACACAGAAAATATTTTGGGTGTAAAACTGCGGCACAAGTCTTACAAAAGGTACATACACTTGTTCTCCTAAGCCATGAATGGCACTTTATACTTGCCTTTCGTCGTAATTAAAACACCCATAGGCAGTGAATCTAATAGGTTTTTGTGAGTTTCGGGTGCGGACGTAATTTCGTTTTGCCTGATGAACTAAAAAATGGTTAAAATTTTAATACAAGTTGCATGAGAGTTTTGGCTAGGTTCGCGCGTGGTTTGAATTCGCCTCAACGTCTTGTTGAATTAGTTCAACAAAGGATCAGATTGGTGAGAGGATTGGCCGCGCGCGATGCATGTTTTAATTTAAAATTGTTCGAATTTTAATACAGTAGCAAGCATGAGAGTTTCGGGTGCGGACGTAATTTCGTTTTGCCTGATGAACTAAAAAATGGTTGAAATTTTAATACAAGTTGCATGAGAGTTTTTGCTAGGTTCGCGCGTGGTTTGAATTCGCCTCAACGTCTTGTTGAATTAGTTCAACAAAGGATCAGATTGGTGAGAGGGTTGGCCGCGCGCGATGCATGTTTTAATTTAAAACTGTTCAAATTTTAATACAGTAGCAAGCATGAGAGTTTCGGGTGCGGACTTAATTTCGTTTGGCCTGATGAACTAAAAAATAGTTGAAATTTTAAT